CACACACACGAAACACAACTTTTAAAAAGATGATAGCATGGAAAACTGTGTGTTTGAGATTAACAGAAAGGGGCAGCACCCAGGTCTTTTATATATCTGTAGGCTAGTTATGCTGCAAGTCACTGCAATGTTTCATTAGTGACCTCAGCTCTTTTTTTTTTCTCCTGCCTCTCTTGGCAGGTGGAAAGGAAGACAATCAGTTCAGTCTCTTTGACATTTTTGAACCTGATTCTGCTAACCTTTACTCACATGAGTAGGCCCATTGACTGCATTGGGACTACTCATGTATGTAAGGACTGTTTGCAGAAGGGTTGGTGAGTGAGAGTTTGCATATTTGGGCTCTGTCTCCACTATACAAAGGGTGACAGTTCAGCCTTTGTGCTGACTTGTGGTAGCTTCATGATTTGCATTTCTTTGGTGATGTCAGGATGGACTGCATTCAAATCTCTTCGCTCAGCATTGCTGTCTTAAAGAGATAAAAAGTTGCTGCTTGATCAATAAAGTCATAAATAGGAGGCCAAATGCGGCTCCAACTGACACCCTGGGCAGCCCCAGTGGGAAGAATTCTACTCAGTTGTGCTGGTGTAATCTGGGATAACCCCAAAGAAGTCAGTGGAGTTTCTCCTGTTTTACATCAGTGTAACTGAAAGTATAATTTGACCCACTACTTGGAGTAGCTTGAGAGTGTCAGTTAGTGGATTCTTTGGCCCACAGTCATTTTTTAAAAATGGTGGTGGGGGGTTAATCTTTGTATCATTCCTCTCTGCTGCCCCTGGTGTCCCTTCAAATGAGAGTTTCTGGGTGATGACACTATGTGGAATGGGTGGTTTGCTCTTTCAAAACCTTGATATAATAAAATAGCTGTCCAATAGTCAGGGTATTTTTCAAAATTCTCTTAAGTGGTTCGTGTTGGTAAATAACGTTGAAGATTAAAAGTGCAATGTATGTGCTGGCGATAGTAATTTTAAACTGCAGGTTGTAATTGCAGATCTTTTTATGATCTGGTCCTTTCCAGTTTCCACTTCTGTACTTAACCTCCCCTCCTCTCTCCATTCAAGTACTTGATCATCACCTGAATTTATCTGTGCTTCCTTTAGGTGAAGCAGTGTTGCAATCAGGGAAGCATAAAGTGGGAGAAGGAGGAGATGGTTATACAAACAATTACAACATAGGATTAAAAATAAACAAAAACCTTACTACCTGAGTGAAATCAAAATGGTTTTAAAAATGCTTAAAATAAAAAATTGTATAGGATTCCTTCCGCAAACACTGCTGAGGGATAAAGTCAAGTGTTTCTCATTTAAGGTCATTCCTTAATGTCATTAATTTTGAAGATACCTAGAAGTAGAGGAAGCCACTATTGTGTGAAGGATTAAAAAAAAGGGTAATGAGACCAAGTTTATTTATATCTTCCTGCATTCTAGGCTGCAGGGAGTGGGGTGCCCTTTGATCTTCTTAAGCCTTCAATATTAATAATCTCCAATATTTAAAAGTTCCTTACTAAAACTAATTAGAATAAATGAATAAGAGGTTTCAAGGATTCTCTGATTACTCAAAATCCCTCATCTGTTGACTTGACTCTTGTCTGTAGCTACTAGGGTTCACTAGAGATGCTTTCTGTGTATTTAACTATCTTTTTATAAATTAAAAAACATTATTTTCTTTTCTAGTTTACGTTGATCATTGGAGAAAACTCCACAGGTGATGGTAAGCATTCTTTACTTACACTGTGTATCTGAGAGTATGGGCAATGCACACTTTGTATGTTAACTGCATATACAAGCAAATTGTATTGAACCGTCAGCACATATTTAAAAGAATTGTATTTTAAATTAGTTAAATTGCATTCAAAGTAAAATTCATTTATTAAAAGTATTGTTTGATTGGTCTCTTCAGAGAAGAGTCTAGAGACATATGACAGGAAAATGACAGAGAAATCTGCTGATCACTCTTCTTAGATTTATAGCTTTTATATGGTTGAGAAAACTCCTCTGTATTTCCATTTACACAGCAGCTGAAAAAACACAGACATACAGCTATATTCCATAGTTAGACTTTAATGTGTTCCTTTTCCTTCTTCATCCCAATCTAAAACATCCCCTTAATTTTTTTTCAACAGATGGATTTTTAAAATTCTGTGAAAGAGTGAGGTTTTCTAGGGTCACTTTTTTTCCCTTCCCAAACACAGAAGTATTTGGATAAGCACCAAAATCACAATTCTGTCTACATGAAGTGGCCCTTTGTATTCCTCTCCCCCTAAATTAACAACTGGGGCTAGTCAGATAGGCAAATCAGCCAGCTGTATTCCAAAGTTTTCAGTGAGGTCATCACCAAGGCCCATTTTAGAAACATTTTAGTTAAAAAGAACTGAAGATATTTTTTGTATTTTAAAAAGATATGTTGTCATCTTGGGGAATACATAGAATATATGAAACTTTCCTTTTTTGTTAAGCTGTATTAACTGCTCTACTGATGTTCCCAAACTTGATTTTTAATTATTTCAGTGGGAAAAATTAAACAAAGTGCTTCAGAACTAACTCTGTGAAATGGGAGTTGCAACTTCTCAGACTTGACCACAGAATTTTCTGGTCTTGACTATACATTGAAGAACTAGAGTCAGGGTGACATTCTCATTTAACGAAAGCAAAGTAAAAACATTAAATATCCTGGTTTTTAGGAGTTCATAACAGTTATAAATAAATAAATACATCCTAGCAACAGGGCCACATTCTCCTCTTACACCAGCGTAAATTGGAAATAAATCCCCTGAAGTCAGTGGAGTTTCACCAGCACAATAGAAGTGCATGAGGCACAACTGTCCCATAAAGTCTTAGCCAAAAAGACACACATTTTGTTATGCATTTCCATAAAAATTAATTGGGTGGCTGTTTTTTAAAATCACTTGTATGACACCATAGATTTGCATAAACAGGTGAGACACAATCCCTGACCCAGTGTTTAAGTGAAATAAGAAAAATAAAGTTTATTAGCTTGAGACTTTTTGTTCTTGCAACTACTTAAACATAACCTTAAAATTATGTTATCAGTGTTTTTAAGCCCCTTTTGGGGGAGGGGACGGGGGGGTCAGGAAGGGAGGTTGGTTTCTGGGCAGGGATGGTAAAACTATAGCTATGAAGTGTCACTAAACCAAATTCATTTATTTTTTAAAAAAATCATTCTTGGTGATTTAGGGTATTAATAATACAGGTAAGGAAAGCACCTTTAAAGTATAATGTTTCATCTTGACAGTATCCCTGAAAAAGAAAAGATGACCTTCCACATTTAAGTCTAAAATAGTCCAAATGTGTGGCAAAAAAAATAGATCAAGTAAAACTCTCCCTCCCCTGAGAGAGACACAATATCTAGACCAAGGAGATGCATTATGGGACGAACATCAGACTTTACACTAAATTTCTTGGCTTTTGTCCGTTTTAAGACAGACACGTGTTGTTGCATCATGGGTATCCAAATGAATGAAGTGAGACCAACTTGTTTTTAAATCCAACATCACTTTCCATGCATCCAGAGCCCTTGCTCAGAAGCTCTACCCTAAGGGCAGACAGTGGGCAAACACCACCCCAAGAGTGATTTAGCTTTCCATTATCCCTGACCTTTCTCCAACACTACCCATGTGTAGCCCAATTAGTAGGGGAGGGGAACCTATTGCAATCTTTTTCTATAAAGAATTTACTGTACTATATAGGGTCTGCTGCACTCTCATAGAGTTATATGGCTAGAATAGAGCCAGGGGTAAACTGTTCTGTCAAGCAAACAAACATTTTTAAAAACAGTTGTTGCTGTTTTACAACTTGTTACGTTTTATAACTGGAAAGAAATATTTTAGTTTACTTCAGTCAATGAACTTTATTACCCTTTTTCAGATTATAGCTGCTGATGAATACAGAAGTGAGATTTACTAGCAGCACGGCACTTTGCTAAGCATGGGTGGGGTTTAATTGAGACCTTGACTAAGGTTTGATTGAGACGTGACTAAGTTGCCATCTGACCTCTACCACTGAAATCATTATGGCAAGGAGATGGGGTAAATGCATTACTAAATGAAATAGGTGCCTTTATTTAATATAGAGGAATTTCAGACGCGTTACCCTCTGCCTGTTAACATGAAGCTTGTGTATTTGTAGTATTTGGCTTATCCCACACACACTTTGAAGTAATCAACTCTCATTCAACTCATCTTTCACCTATGTAGTATATCAATTCACTTGAATTCATTTGTATTTGTAAGTGCTGAGTATTTATATCCACACAGCTCGGTTTGCATTAATACATTTCAACATTTTGCCCCACAGGAGTGGCTTCCACTGTAATAACAGAGCTTTGGGGGAAAGCTTTGGTGCAGTCATTCTCATTACTTTCTTCCTTGGTGACTAGTAGCGTGAGCAACATGATCTATTTTTGTATGTATAGTATGTTCATGCTTCAAGCACTTGTCATTTTTCCTCCAAAATACATGTTTTTTGTTATCATAGGAAGTAAAGCATTTGGAATGAAAAAGCTTTTCAATTCTAGGAGTTGCCTCAACACTGTCTCTCCCCTCTGCTCCCACTTTTTTCAGGAGGACTCACTGCATGAAGACTCTCAGCCATGGTATAATCAACAAGTATATGCAAGATACTGGAAGCATTACAATCAAGCCATGCATTGGATGTACAAGCACAAAAATGCCTACAGGAAAGCCATGGAGTCCTTTTATCATCTGTCATGGTATCCATCCGAAACCTTTCCTTCAAGCCGTTACTCAGATTGGGATGGAGGCAACCCATCGGATGCTGACAACTATTCTACTTACGCTTCAAACAGCAGAGCGCGATACCCTTCCTGGTCCCAGCAATACCCAGGTGCCCATTGCAGTTCTGGAGTGAGCAAGGATATGGGCAGGGATTCTGAAATGGAGAAGGATTCTGAGTCTGAAGAGGAGATAGAATGTGACCTGAGCAACATGGAGATCACAGAGGAGCTCCGCCAGTATTTTGCACAGACAGAGGCACACAGGCAGGAGTTACGTAAGTTCAGGCATTGTTTATATTATATACTTTCAATTTCAGGCTGTAATGAATATGTCCTTAATTCAACATTAGGGTGTTGCAATATAATACACAGGAGTAATCAGCACTAGAAGTAAATGAACCAGTGAAAATACTTGTGGTTTTTCTCCATAGAGAGAATGAGTATGAATGCTTTGGAGAGTAGAAGGAGCATGTATTTGTTCAGGAGAAAATGATTTGTTTAGAGCAATTCTGGGGGAAATTAAGGAATCTGTAGCAAGGTAGATAGTGAAAATCTCCATCTTTTTCCTCAGCAGAACAGGTAATACTCATATTTTAATTATAATCTTCTTTCTATAAAAATGATCCTTTGAGTTGTTTCCAACTTTCCATTACTCTGTCCCTACTATGCTCTGGTTTATCCTACAAATACCCAAGTGCTGAAAAATTTTTGCATTGACAACCAATACTTCCTTTAAAAACAAAAATATTTTTTTAACATTTCAAAATCCTGAATCAGTTGATCCTCACATTTTAAACTAAAGCTTAAGTCAGTTGAGTTTAAAAAAAAGAAGATATCAATATTCTCAAAAATCTGGGCTTCTTAAGGTTAAAAATTTAATAAAATCCTAGATTCCTGAGAGGTCCAGCCCAAAGGAAATTCCTAGCTATGTTGTTTAATGCTGAAGGAAGCTGCAATGTACTCTTTTAAGATGGAGTAGCCATTTGCTTTATTTTTCTTTGGCTCACCCAACAGTAAAAATTCCAAGACCTCTCTTCCCCCTCGTTACCCTTCAGTGTTGTGCAGGAAATATTTTTTTCTTTCACATTCAAAGCCTCAAGCCCAGCTCTGGGAAAATAGAAGGGGGGATATTAGCCAAAAAAATCAGTAGGGGACTTTTTGCAAGTCTCAGTCCTTGGAGATATCCAAGTCATCTTTATCTCTGTGAAATCCTTTAAAGAAAACAAAGTGTCTTGTTGTCCTGATTTATAATTTATTGCATAGACAAATAAACTTTACAGGCAAGTTTACAGTCTGTTTTGAGGAAACAATGTGAAAAAAATAATTTTCCCCACGTTATTTGCATGGGAAATATTCAGCATAAATGCTTAATAGAATGAGCTTTCATTGTAATTATGCTATCCTTTCTCTGGACATTAAGGAGGGAGAGAGGAAGGAAATAATTAAAAAAAAAATCTAATCAAGCAAGTAGGAATTTTTTGTAAATTACATTCTGCTGTTTAAATCCTTAAAGTTGAGAATATCTGGAATGCTGAAACACACAGGAGTAAATGTACACATTCAATCAATAGCAAAATCAATGAGTTATACCTAGCAAGGGATATAAATGGCAAGAAGCAGTTCTTTAAAGATATTTGGAGCAAGAGAACGACAAAGGAAAGTGTAGGTCCTCTACTTAGCCAGGGAAAGCGAGCTAATAGCTGATGACATCAAGAAGACTGAGGTGTTTAATGCCTATTTTACTTCAGTCTTCACTAAAAAGGTTATTAGTGACAAAATACTCAATACAATTCACATTAACAACAAGGGGGAAGGAACGCAAGCTACATTAGGCAAAGAGGAGGTTAAAGAATGTTTATGTAAGTTAGATGTTTTCAAGTTGGCAGGGCCTGATAAAATTTATCCTAGGATACTTAAGGAACTAGCTGAAGCAGTCTCAAAACCACTAAGGACAGGTAAGCTCCTAGAGGACTGGAGGAGGGGAAAAATAGTACCTATTTAAAAAGTGAAACAAAGAGGACCTGGGGAGTTATATACCACTTAGTCTAACTTCAGTACCTGGAAAGATTCAGGAACAAATTATTAAACAATCAATAGCCAGCATGGATTTGTGAAGAACAAAGCGTGCCAAGCCAACCTAATTTCCTTCTTTGACAGGGTTACTGGCCTAGTGGATGGGGGCAGGGAGGAAGCAGTAGATGTGTAAGTAAGTAAAGGGCTTAATCTTGATTTTAGTAAGGCTTTTGACACAATCATGACATTCTCATAAGCAAATTAGGAAAATGTAAATCTAAATGAAATGACTGAGGTGGGTGCACAACTGGCTGAAAGACTGTACTCAAAGAGGAGATATCAGTGGTACACTGTCAAACTGGGAGGGTGTATCTAGTGGGGTTCTGTAGGGGTCAGACCTGGGTTCAGTATTATTACATATTTTCATTAATGACTTGGATAATGGAGTGAGTATGCTTATAAAATTTGTGGATGATGCCAAACTGGGAGGGGCTGAAAGCACTTTGAAGGACAGAATTAGAATTCAAAAGAACTTTGACAAATTAGAGAATTGGTCTGAAATCAACAAGATGAAATTCAATAAAGACAAATGCAAAGTGTACTACATTTAGGAAAGCAAAATCAAATGGACAACTACAAAATGGGGAATAACTGGCTAGTAGTACTGCTGAAAAGAATTTGGGGATTATATTGGATCACAAATTGAATATGAGTCAATAGTGTGATGCAGTTGCAAAAAAGGCTAATATTATTCTGGGGTTTATTAACAGGAGTGTCGTATATAAGGTACAGGAGGTAAATGTGCCGCTCTGCTTGGCACTGGTGAGGCCTCAGCAGAGTACTGTGTCCAGTTCTGGGCACCATACTTTAGGAAACCTGGACAAATTGGATAGAGTCTGGAAGAGAGCCAGAAAAATGAGAAATACAACCTATGAGGAAAAGTTTCAAAAAACTGGGCATGATTAGTTTTGAGAAAACAAGACTGAGGAGGGTACCTGATAATAGTCTTCAAATATGTTAAGGGTTGTTATAAAGAGGACAGTGATCAATTGTTGTCCAGGGTAACAAACCTTGTGGATAAGGGGGGAAGCAGTAGATGTGGTATATCTTGATTTTAGTAAGACTTCTGATACTGTCTCACATGACCTTCTCATAAACAAACTAGGGAAATACAGAGATGGAGCTACTATAAAGTGGGTGCATAACTAGTTGGAAAACCATTCCAGAGAGTAGTTGTCAGTGGTTCACAGTCAAGCTGGAAGGGCATAACAAGTGGGGTCCCTCTGGGATCAGTTCTGGATCCAGTTCTGTTCAATATCTTTGTCAATGATTTAGATAATGGCACAGAGAGTACACTTACAAAGTTTGCGGATGATACCAAGCTGTGAGGGGTTGCAAGTGCTTTGGATGGTAGGATTAAAATTGAAATGATCTGGACAAACTGGAGAAATGGTCTGAAGTAAATAGGATGAAATTCAATGGGGACAAATGCAAACTACTCCACTTAGGAAAGAACAATCAGTTGCACACATACAAAATTGGAAGGAGTACTGCAGAAAGTGATATGGGGGTCATAGTGGGGATCATAAGCTAAATATGAGTCAACGGTGTTACACTGTTGCAAAATAAAGCAAACATCATTCCCAGATGTATTAGCAGGACTGTTGTAAGCAAGACATGAGAAGTAATTCTTCCGCTCTATTCTGTGCTGATTAGGCCTCGACTGCTGTATTGTGTCCAGTTGTGGGCACAACATTTCAGAAAAGATGTGGACAAATTGAGAAAATCCAGAGAAGAGCAACAAAAATGATTAAAGGTCTAGAAAACATGACCTATGAGGGAAGATTGAAAAAAATGTGTTTGTTTAGTCTGGAGAAGAAAAGACTGAGAGGGGACATAACAGTTTTCAAGTACATAAAAGATTGTTACAAGCGGAGAGAGAAAAATTGTTCTCCTTAATGTCTGAGGATAGAACAAGAAGCAATGGGCTTAAATAGCAACAAAGGCAGTTTAGGTTGGACATTAGGAAAAACTTAACTTCCAGCCCTATGTTTCTGTGATTCTGTGTAATACACTGCTCAAGGAAAATAACATATAAGCAACATAAAGAAGCTCAGCTTAGCACCCGATGTGCAACCTGTACTCATGTGAGGAGTTCTGCTGTGTCAGAGACAGGCCTCTGTCCACTGTTGAAAATTTTAATCTGAAGAGAGAGAAAACACTTCGAGAACTACAACTAAGACAGTTTAGAAATGCAGAATGTTTTCCTGTTAATTTTTTTCATGCATGGTAGGTATTTGAGGATTGTCATGATTAAGGCAAAGACCTGATACTCAGGAGATCTGGGTTCAGTTATTGGCTCTGCCACCGACTTTGCTGTGTGACCTTGGGCAAGTTATTTAATATCTCTGTGCCTCAGTTATAAGAGGGAGGCCTCTTAAAAGGCTCAGAGCTCTGAGTTGGGACGCCAGGGCTTCTATTCCTGGCTGTAGCACAGACTTATTGGGACACCTTAGTGAGACACTGAGGTCCTGATTGTGCTCTCACGCTAGTTTTGGCAGGTGTAATTCCATTCAGTTCAGTGAAGTTATTCTTGATTTACCATGGGGAAAGTGAAAGCAGAATCAGGCTCTTCTGTGTGCCTCAGTCTCCTCATCTGTAAAGTGCAGATAATGATTACCTGCTTCATAGAAATATTGCAGCTAAATTAATAAAGTACTATATATTTATAAATTGCCCCCACAGCCTCAGATGAAAGATGCTTTTTAAGTGCAAACTTTTATTATTAATTCACAAAATACACTATCTGCACGTTCAGGAATAACTCTGCTTCTGACCAATAAATAAATAAATAAATAAAATAGATTTTTATACATTCTGTTGGAGTTGCTTAAAAAAGGAAAGTAGCTAAGCAGAGGGAGGGGGAAATATTATGTTCTGTACTGTGTGCTGTAAACGAGTAGTAGTGAGCTCTGTTGAGACCCTGTGGACAGTGAAAGATACGGTGCTGCTATGTTTAATTAGATAGAGCTATTGATTTTCCTGAGTACTGTTTTTAAGCCAAATGAAATTTATAGAGGGTTCATGAAGCTGAACTCTGTCATGACACTATCTTGTTCTGTCTTTCATCTTTGAAGCTGTATTGATCCTTAAGGAAAGGTAGACGAGGCAGATAAAAGTGATCACATTATCTGCCTTGTATATGTTCTCTCTCAGGTCTTTTTCTCTTTGTAATCCATCACAGCCAGACTTGGTTCTGGCC